AAAAAAAAAAAAAAAAAAAAAAAAAATATTCCGACGAACTGATAACTTCCTCCTTTTTTGGAAGTCGGTTAACAATATTTTTAATAGCCATGAGGTGGCAAGAAACGTGCTATTTCCTATAAAGAAATTCTCAAAAGCGGCTCAAGAAGCTAGAAATAAGGATTTCAGAAGGTATCGGCTAGACAATACTAGAAAGTGTTCGCGTATACCATTTTTACACACGCTGCAGTGTCGCGGAAATAACGCCCATGGGCTTTATTTCCTAAAAAAAAGAAACAAAGCCCGCGGGGTTAATTGCCTTTTACCCGTGGGCATTATTTCCCTTTCGATATGGCAATAAAGCCCGCGGGCGTTATTTCATCTTTATTGTGGCTCTTGTCCATGTATGTACATCCAAAACCCCCTGTTCTAAATAAAAACTAACTAATATGATAATATTGAACTAAATATTTGTTTTCCTTTATATGTTACACAAACCACTCCAACACGGCTGATTTAAGGCCCGTCCACATAAAACTTTGGCGTTGCGTTGGCGTTGGCGTCGCTTCAACAGCTGACTATGAATACATGAATTCAAGTGCAGCCGTCCACATAGCCAAAATTCGGCAACGCTCACGCCAACACAAAGCAAAAAGATGGCCAACTCTCATCTTTTCGCGTGCGTTGCTGTCAGCTGTTGCAAATAAATAAAATTGTGTGAAATATTTTCCCTTTTTAATCAAGTGCAGGCCAGAAATATCGTTTTTAATGCAATTATTGATATTAAATATTAATTTATCTGTCGTTAGTATGCTAATTTAGTCGCCCAAGCATTCGCTGCCAAGCGTTCATTGTAGCAAGCATTCTTTTAACGTGCGTTCTGTCAAACCAACGCCAACGCCAAAGCCAATGCGAAAGTTCTATGTGGACCGGCCTTTATGTTATTCTGCCCTTTATTCATTTTTGTTGTGTTAAAACAACCCGTGCGTCATCCACATCACCACAGTATTTCTGCGGCGTGGGTACACAGACAACCCTAACTCCTCATCGTACATTCATGTAGAGCATTTAAATAATGTAAGTATATAAACAAATAAGTTTACCGGCGTAATGGCGAGGGAGTGGAGCGAGCATGTTTGCGCTCAACCGCGGTCGTCCAAGTTTGCGCACCACCACTGAAAAACCTAAGACGCAGAGAACAAATATGCGCATCGCATTGAAGGCTAAAAAAATAGTAACAATTTACCTTTAATTTCCAATAATTCGGTTATCAGTTATTGTCAAAAATATTGTTCGATTTTATGCGTATACTGCAGAAGGGAATTTAAAGCAGAACTACACTATATGCAAAAATAGAGAGCAATTCGTTTAAAATACGTTGCATTTTATGCAAATGTATGCCTGTATACATAATTGGAATGTTTCAGTGAAATAAAGCCAGAGAAAATACTACACACGGGCGTTAGTTCCTTTTCTTTGGGGAATACAGCCCGCGGCCATTATTGCTCTTTCACAAAGGAAATAAAGCCCGCGGGTTGTATTGCCTTTTATTGGTGGGCGCTGTTTCCCTTTCGAAATGGAAATAACGTCCATGGGCTTTTCTTCTATTTTTTTGGGAAATAAAGCCCATGGGCTTATATTATTTGTATACATAACGTCGTTTAAAGTACAAAACCGCGTATCAATAAAATGCAAAACCGCGTATCAAAATAATGCAAAACCGCGTATGTGAGGTTGCATAAATTATTTTCTAGAGAGTAAAAACACGCATATATCAAAATGGTTATTTTTTTATAAAGCAATCGCATTTCTGGCTAGTATATTTCAGGACGAATGGATAAGGATTTAGCCAAGAGCTTGTGTGAGCAAATCCAATTTTTGGCAGCAAATGCCAGTTACGCGGTTTTGCAGAATGACGATATGCGGTTTTTACTTTAAACGACGATAAGTATAATTAGAATTACACACAAATTTTATGTTGTATTTTTTATGTGCTTTTACTTATAGGAACCTTCGCATATTTATCTTATTGAAGAAGGACTAGCGCTCTGGGTTGCCGTTGTGGAAAATTCAACTGTTATGTCACCGCAGCTCCTGGCGTTATGCAAAAATCTCTTGCCAATTATTGAAATGTCATCAGAAAATTTACGAATAGTATTGATTCTTATACAAGCATATATTCTTTTGGACTCACACACATTTCTTGAACGCTATGGCAAGGAGTTTGTTCAATTTTGTACACGCATGTTTGACGATTTACGACCGGAAGGTATAGCTTTGATGCTGAAGGTGTTTGAAACATGTCTGAAATCAGATGCGAACTACGGATTGGAATTAGTGCGGCCTGCCTTGCCTTATATTTTCAAGCAGGTTTACCTGGACAAAGAGTTTCCTATGCTTATGTCAATGTATTTAATGATGGTTGCAAGGGTACTACTTATCAGCCAATCTGTATTTACCGCAGTGTTGCAGGAACTACAACTGCCGAATGCATTAGAAACTATACTTGACGTGTGGATACGCAAGATGCCACTAGTGACAGAAGTCGAAAAGCGAAAGCTCTTTGCACTTGCGTTTGCATCGATATTCACCAATGACCAAATTTTACTAGAACGTTTTCCAGGAATTATGCAAAATATTGGTGATACTCTTATGGATGTAATGCGGGAGGAAGACGACGAATTAGATACCATAGATAGTATCGATACGGTGAATATTCCACCCCGTCCAGCTGGTGAGAAGCCAATGAAGTTCTGCGACTCTTTGGTTTTCCTCGATGAACATGATTTGGATACAAGCAGTTATTGTATAATGGACGATTTTGACTACAAGACTTACCACTACGATCGCTGCAGACAATTGTCCCTTAAAGATCCAGTGCATAAGATTGTGCTTACCGAATACTTGGAATGGCAACTGAATACGTTGCGGACGCAAATGGGGGAGGACGCGTATCAACAGTTGATGCAGTGCGTTTATCCGGGAGTATTGGAGAAGGTTGGGAAGTTTGTTAAACTGAATTTAAATTTTCAGCCTAACTGAAATAGATTATTAAATAACTATGAACCTCTTGCAATATTACCTACACGAATAGCCTTTAACCCAAAGCATAACGAAGCGAGTCACTAATTTTCTACTTCAATTATAAAACTGGGAAACAGAAATAATTTCTGTATCTATTACCCGATATAAAATTAAATTACTGGAAATATTTTTTGTTTGTTTTTACAATAAGATTTCCTTTAAGTATTCCAAAAAAAAACGTACCCCCCTATTATGGATTCGTACGATTCACGATAAACGCTTGCATTCTGTTATTCTCTATTACGCAATGAGGTTGTCGTATGAAATCCGATTGTAAGCGTAGCTGATTTGTGCTGGTTCACAATAAAAAGTGATCAAAACCCACAGCCAGTCACAATACTGTCGGGCATATGAACACGATTATACGAGAACTGTTTCCATACGATACGCTTGCAAGCGTTTATCGTCTATCATATGAAAATTCATAATAGGGGGAAATTAAACAGAAAAAAGAATGCGAAGCAATTTGCAACTGATTGTTTTGCTTAATGAAGCAAGAAACTAAATAAAAGTAAAAAATCAAACACAGAACTCTTTGAATCATTTTGTCATCGTTCATCTTCGTAAGTAACGTAACTCTTCTTACTGTTTATAATCAGGATGTAGTTGTGTTTGACGGCCGCTGTGGATAAAAGGGGTTAGAAGTAGCATACTGAGTTGGATCCCTGGTCCGAGTAACGTGTAAATGGAAAATGTTTTTTTTTCAACAGCGGTCGCCCCTCGCTTCCCATAAAATCATTTACCTTTCGGAGTCGGCGTAAAACTGTAGACCGCTCCATTTCCGTAAAAACATCAGGACGCCAGGAGGAGAAGCTCGGCCAAAAGAAATTGGCAAAAGTCTAGGGGCCAATTATTATTAGTTGTCTAAAAATTTCAGAGGGTAAGATAAAATTTTCTTAAGGTGCTCGTAAACGATGAGAGTAAATACCTTGAGAGTTCCGCCATATTGGTCTGAGAATTCTCATGGGTGTTTATATGTACACGAATTCTCATTAGTATTTGATTCTTATGAGAGTTTTTTGGTAAGAAAAATCTCACTCGCTCTCGTGTCTGTTTACACGAGGAGCTCTCACGCGATTTGAGAGTAACGTATGTATGTAGTAATATATGAACTTATGCAAGAATTATAGAATACAAGATTGCAGTGAAAAAAAAAAACAAAACAAAAGGAGAAAAAGGCGAGAATAAGGGGAAATAGAATAGCTGATTTTGTCGAATTCGCCAAGAATAAAGTAACTGTACTGTTGTTTTCTCTACATCTACATTATGTAATATTTTGTCATTCAGGTATCGTGAAGAATGTTGAATAGACGCAAAAAATTACTTTTGGGTTTCCTGTCCCTATATGAAGATAGAAAACAACAAGAGGAAGAAAGTTATAATTTATTTTACGTCGCTAAATGGGGTCAAGCGTGCTCAAAATTCAAATTTTTAAGAATCTTTTTTTTTTGTTTTTGTTATTTTTTTTGGCTTTATAACAATTATATTCAACAATATATATTGAGCTTGGGGCCGTTTTTCAAATGGAAATTTATTGTGGAAAAGCAACAATAATTTGAAAAAATGGTAGAAGTGATACAGACTTCGTTCAGTAGGCTTCGAACCGACGATCCCACTGACTCAGCCAGTTGCCTATGCACCGTGCTAAGTACGCCTTGTAAATTATCGTTTGCTTTTTTCCACTATTTTCATTTTTGTTATGCCAACACAATCAAGCGCACCTATTCCGCTGCAATTCACTTGATCATGTGGTTGTTGGTATTGTTGGTTTTTGCTAATAATTCTATTTTTAGAATGTTTAACTTTTAGGCGTGCGCGTCCTTAAGTTATTTGTTTTTGTTATTTTTTTGGCCTTATAACAATTATATTCAACAATTTATATTGAGCTCGAGGCCGTTTTTTAAAAAAAATTTATTGTGGAAAAGCAACAAAAATTTGAAAAAATGGTAGAAGTGATAGCTATTTCGGAAATCACCACATTTCCTCATCAGACTTCTTTGAGAAGGATTCGAACCGACGATCCCACTGACTCAGCCAGTTGCCTACGCACTGTGCTAAGTTCGCCTTTCTTGTTGCTTATTTCCACCATTTCACTTGTTAAGCTAACTACAATCAAGCGCAGCTATTCCGCTGCAATTCACTTGATCATGTAGTTGTTGGTTTTGTTGGTTTTTGCTAATAATTCTATTTTTAGAATGCTTAACTTTTAGGTGTGCTCGTCCTTAAGTTATTTGTTTTTGTTATTTTTTTGGCCTTATAACAATTATATTTAACAATTTATATTGAGCTCGAGGCCGTTTTTTAAGTGAAAATTTATTGTTGAAAAGCAACAATAATTTGAAAAAATGGTAGAAGTGATAGCTGTTTCGGAAATCACCACATTTCCTCATCAGACTTATTTCTTCTTTTTTTTTGAAAAATAAAAGCGCAGGTTTATTCCTTATTAAATTCTACATTTGGTAGTAAGTTTTCAGCTTACTGTCGTTTTCGGCTGGGAGATATGCGTGTTCAAACTTGACATATTTGAATATTTTTTTTTTCCAAAACTGTGAAATTCAAATGCGCAATTCAGATTGTTACTGTTTTTGGTGTTTTGTGTTTTAAAAAAATTATGTTAAAAAAAACTTAACTATCCCCTTTTTTTGCAATTGTAATTTTCAAAATATTTTTTTTTTAAATACCCAAAACGCTTTAAATTTGACAGTACTACAATAAAGTATGTTCCTTCCTTATTAAGAATTCGAGTTCAAAACCAAAAGCATTTTTTGCGCATTTTTAAATGAATTGGTTTCAAAAATTTCTCTTTGATTTTAATTAAACACAAAAACATATAATTCTGTTTAATTTTGATTCTGTTTCTTTTGGAACGTAAACTGTGTATTATTTTAAGGTTGATCAATGAATAAAAAGCGGATTTAGTTCTAACAAGTAATTTAAAAACTTTAGTGAGAAGCGGATTTAGATCGAACAAGGACTTTAAAGTCTTCACACTATAGATCCCCTATAGTAGGAAAACGAGTCGCGCTGACAATTTAGAAGACGTTTGCTAGCAAGGCGAATTTATGCAAGGTGGTGTTGTCCAATCTGCTGATTTCTTCTTCTTTTCTTCGCCCTACATGTATTTTGTTTTTGCTTTTACTGATTTGACAGCATGCCCCTGAATAGCAACAACAAAATACATATAAACTTTGAGGCGAATTGAGATTTGACATTTTTCCCCTGATACAAAATACATGTGGTTGTTGTTTATTGTATTCTTGCTACCACCTTGTATAAATACGCCTTGATTGCTAGTTTCATCAGACCGGAGATTTTTCTTTTCTAAAGCAATGGAGTTACTTAGTAGAACTTGAATTGAATAATATTAGTTTAACGGAGCGTGGATGGGATTTAGATTCCGACTGTGAGGAATAAGTGTCACAGTTTTCTTTATATAGTGCTTATCATAACTATAAGACACCCACATATTGACAAAGCTAGGACTAATTTTTTATTATTAAATTTTAATTATTTTTGTTGTCGTTTCGTTAAATCTGGCTTGAAACAAATTATTTATAATAATCTTTCTTTGTTTTACATTTATATTTGTTATCATTTCCTCATTTCTAAATATGGTTTAGTTTTTTCTAAATATGGTCACCTAAATTATAAAGGCGACCAAATGGGATCAGCTGTTTTCGCTACCGCTCTAAAGCTTAGTATCCAGCTCTTAAGAAAACGGTCAAGAAAAAATTGCCATTATTTCGCGTGTGTGTCCAAGGAATTTTGACATTTTTTATACCTCACAGCCTGTTGCCTCACTCTTTCCTCAAGAAATAATGGAACGGGCATATATTTCTGTTGCAAACCTGGGTTGCCTTGTGCTCTTTTTTCACAAAAAACTTTAGAAAACCGTAGTAGAAAGCGTACTAAATTTCTGAAGAACTGCGTACTGCCTTAAGGAAATTTGACTCAAGAAAATTTCTTAGCCATTTCTTGTACGTCATTTTATATGGAGTTTTTGCTTTTCTTAAGAGCTGGATACTAAGCTTAATTCTGTTTAAGTAGGCGAAATAGCTGGGCGAACGGTGAACGACAGCATCGCCCAATTCGGCGAAGTTTGCCGTTCGCCGGTATTGTATTTCAAGCATCATTCTTGGTATGTACCTAAATATGTATGTATGTACTAGCCGGCCCCGGATGCGCGAGGCTTCGCCACGCGCTGAATGTATACATATGAATGTACATTTACGTATGTGGAGAAAGAAATCATATGTCATTATGTACTTCGTTTATTGTATATATAAAAAAAAAACATGTATAAATCCGTTCAGTAGCGTGGCTAAAATATCTGCCCTTTCCTTTATATTATGTGTAGAAGATAGTAATTTTAAATAGCTGGCAACCCTACTCAAAATACTTAAAGTTTTTGTACATGCGAAGGCCATGCACTTTCATTTGGCATTTAATTTTTTTATTCAACGAACGGTGAAGATCTTATAGATTTTAAACAGGTGGCAACCCTACTTAGAGAAGTAATACGTTATTACACATCCAGAGCCTATGACTTTTCATTTGACAGTGACGGCGCAGAACTGACGCCTACGCTTGTTAGTAATTTTCTTAACAGGTGGCAATCCTATTAAAATTCTAAATTAAAAAGATCACTCTCCTATCGATACAGAATATATTAGAGAAAAACTCGAAAAGAATTAAGACATTCCTTTATATTATGTATAGATATGATAAGATAAGATATAGATATAGATATAGATATAGATATAGATATAGATATAGATGTACGTACATATATTCAAATTAGCGAGGGAGAGAAGGGGAAAGAAATACGCGAAGAAACTAAACAAAAACATCGAAGTAAACGTATTTTATTTAAATTTTGTGTTTCAAATATTTTTGACTGAGCACTTAAGAACAATTATAGTGGGTGTATGTACATACATACATACATACATATGTAGATACTAAAGTACTTGTACATACAATATTGGCCATATCTATTGCACCCCCATTTTACAGTGATGTTGTTTGCCACTTATGTTTAATTATTAATTTTTAAGAATTTTCAATT